CCGCCTGCCCTTACACATAGGGCTGCTGACAAGTTTGTTCAACTTGATAATGTTCTCATAATTGGTACGAGTCCCTCGTTTGACTGCTTKATGGATACAAAACCACCAATCAATGCCTTCAACACCATTAAGKCACGTGGACCAAGAAYAAAGGAGGGAGGACACATAGGRTTTGTCTTAACGTCATTTACTTCTGGTACTGGAATGGCTCCTGAATTTCCATGGCACATGATTGAGACTTAYCCTGCCATTAATGGTATAACTCGTATGAATTCAGTRTGGTTYTCACACTTTGGTAACAAGTGCAGTAGAAGAAGTGTTGCAATCATGACAAACCCTTTGTCACCTGATGCTATGCACCCTACTGAGGTAAGTTATCTGTCATCACTATCACCTGCCAATCACCCTTACTGTCAATCAATGTATGCTGTCAATCAGTGCAACCAGTCATTCACTACAACCTGCCAATCACTGCAATCGTCAGTCAATGTAACCTGTCAATCAGTGTTATCTGTCAATCAATGTTATCTGTCAATCAATGTAACATATCAATCACAGTAAGCTGTCAATCACAATCACCTGTCAATCACTGTAGGCTATTAATTACTGGAACCTTGCATGACTATCTGGGCTGTAACCCTGTTGACTTGATTAGATTCCTTTCATTTTGTATGCAGGTTCGTGATTTACACATTTATTCCATGAGTCGTTCCAATCTTGTGTACATTGAGCCACCTAAATTGAGTTGGGTCAATCCATCTGATTGTGTGGACATGGATTGTGATGGTCACAAGGAAATTCTCATCAAAGACATGGATGGATCATTGACTGGAGTCATTGGTGGTTCRATCATCTCTAAAGCTGAGTTTGAATGGAATGGTGACCCACGACGTGGTTTGGGTGAGCATTGACWAAGTTTATAGACCTAATTGACTTGATTGAAAATTCGATTTTTGGTAAAATAATGACAAAAATATCTATTTAATCTATTAATAAGTGCCTGGATTTATTGTAGGTGACTATCGTATACCAAAAGCCATGTTAACTGGTAAAGATGGGTCAAGACTCAACGCATCCATAGTTGCACCACATCATGGGATAGTTCGAGGTACAAGAACCAAGTCTTTGTGCAATTGGAATGCTACTTGGAATGCTTACACATGCAAAAATATAGGTAAAGGAACAATCGACTTCTATACTATATATAATTAGTCAATCTTCCATTGAACCTTTGAACGCTCAGAGTTTCTAGGCCTATAATGACCATTTTAACTATACAGCAGTAACTTACAGACCACATTGCTCCTGAACTCCTACAAATATTTGCACTGGATACTCAAAAACTGAAGCTGTATTTGTTTTCAAGATTATGAAATGCTAGTCATTGAAAGTCTTGATGCCGACACTGAAGTAAGAAGACTATCACCTGTGGCCCTGGCAGCAGATGGTTTCACTAATCTACTAAACGGTCCCCAAGATCATGGTTGGTGCTTTGGCTACACATGCCAAGAGAGAATTTCCACATTCTATRCCATTGTGGCTACARCCAGGAATTATTCCATGTATTTCACTGGTATGAAATCATATGAACCATCAATCCAAAGAAACATTAATAGATAAAGGCACAGAGCATTAGATTTATGCACAACTACAGCACCGCCCAAAATAAACTAACTGTACCTTACCTTTCTAGGTACAAACCCAGAGAAGCTTCGCCTACGTCTGTTAAACAGTGAATCCAGCCAAAGCCTGAGACTAGCTGTTTGGTATTCCAAACCACAGCGTCTTGACGTGTACTGTCAAGGTCGTTATGTCTACCCAACCAATGCWAATCTAAAGACYGGCAGTTTTACTTTGAAGAAGAAAGATCCRAGTCTTCCAGAYGACCAGTTTGAGCCTCCACTGTCTGGTGTCAGTGGTTCTAATTAYTTTGATAGTGAAACAAAGTTGTTGTTTGTTGTTGTGMGCGGAGGGCTWCCTGTMGATATCARAACAATGCCCATAGTACAGTTGACAATAGGTAAGACGRAYAAATTCAAAGAAGCTTCATTTACTCCCATGTGAACATGGGTAAARKGWAAGGAAAGGRAAAAGGTGTTKGGTRCTAATCMTCCTTAATGGYTTTCTTTWCTTTTCCAGGAACCAAACCAGTYCACATAAATGACTTCTTTGAGAAAAACCTCATYGTCAACTTAGCTGCGCTGCTGAACATCGACAAATCAAATATACGTATAGTATCAATAGTTAACAGCGCAGGCCAGATTCGCCGACGCAGAGCAGTACAGCAGGACATGAAAATAAAAGTTGAAATATCCATTCCACCACCGCTGCATATCCCATTCGAGACCGACGAGTCACTCAACAACACAAGGTAGTATTTTGATAAGGGAACGAACATTAGTGCACTGATGGAATCAAATGGATTTGTTTTATTAAATCTACAAAAAGGTGTATGCTTTATCTTACTTTCAACAAAGAATTGTTTGTAAGTTGAAATAGCAAGCTAAAGTGTGTCCAACCAATTAAAAAGACAGATGGTGAGAGTCTTAATTTTTTATCAACCATTGATTATCGTTTTCTTTGCTGTGCTCTCAACAGACCAACAATGAAGCCTGCACCAACCACTCCCCTTCCATATCCTGATAAGTCATCWTATAAAATGTTAAAAAAGCTTGCTCAAGAGATTGTCAAACAAGCACAAACTAAAAAAATGAGTTCAGCTCTCAAACTTGATGTTCTATCAATTGATGTTGTGGACCCTGAACCACCAAGAACTGATCCTACWKGTGGAGTAAGGGCTACCAACGGCACAGGTATTGAATTAACAGATATAATACTTTCTGATTATCATTAACCATTATTACTATTTATAATCCAGGAGGCCCTTCTAATGGAACATTCCGATATGATCAAAAGATTTCATGGCAAGAAGGCAATAAAACAAGTTTAGAGAGCAGTTACCTTATACCAGCCAAACTTGTAGTTGTCCARCAACCCAGCGATGCTAATGAAACTGTAGCTTTCGGTGTCCARCCAAAACTTGTAATACTGGATGTCTTTAATAACACTGTCACCAGTTTAGGCCATCGGCAGCAATGGTAGGTGGTCTTCCTGTGAATGGATAGAAGAGGGGAAACTGAGCTTARGTTTTGGAATGCTCCTAATGTTAATTAATGTTTAATTTTTCTTTAAGGATTTTAACAGCTGCAATAAGGCCAGGTACTGGGTCACATGACTCGTCACTTAAYGGTAACACCAGCATACCATTCATCGCTGGCTGGGCAAACTTTACCAGTTTGTCAATTACACATAGTTCCAGTAACTATATTCTGGACTTCACTGTAACTACACCAGCAGCATCCAGCGTCAAGGCATCCAGTATGCCTTTCCGAGTAAAAGAACGTATTTTATATTTCACATTAACCTCTAGCCCTCAAGACAGTAATGAAACTGTACCATTTGTCACACAACCTGTTCTATTGGTCCGTGACGCCGCTAATGGAGAAATTGTGAGAAACACAGGATGGAAGGGAAGAAAATGGTTGTGTCACGCAATGTTAAGTAACGTATCAAAGAATATGGGTAAATATTCATCATCATTTTTTATTATTATTGGCATGTATATTATAATAATTGGTTAAACAAAGGTGCTGTTTATTGAATAGAATGTCACACTCATACTTCCCAAGCCATGTGCCTAAATACTTTGGCTAATCTTGAGAAGTTATCCTTTAGCAGCATGTTAGTAAGGAGAGTAATAATATAGAAAATGCGGCTGTTTGCTGTTCTACAGCATCATCTACTCCATATAAAGTGCATTTACCATCTAACAGCAGTATCTGGCCATACTTGCTATATTATTACTCTCCTGAAATCTTTGTTGGCAAATGATACACAATTTGAAAGAATTAATAAGTTCCAATTTCATCATGTTTTTATTGTAGGTCAACTACAAGGGATGAAATCCATTCAGTTTATATCAGGAGTTGCAAGGTTTAATAATCTGTCTATTRAYTATGCTGGGCATGGCTATGTACTCACAATAAAAGCRYTYACAGTCCCATCATCGCAGTATTCATATACCATTGATACCCAACCCTTTAACATATGGGAGAGAGCACTWCAACTTGTTATTACTCAACAACCAGGTATATATAGCAGAGATAATACAGTTTAACTCATCGTCAGTGAGTTCTACATGCTATATAATTTGTTAATGTCTTTTTAAGGTGACTGCAATGATACAGTGGYMTGCGGYTCTCAACCAATACTTGAGATCCAAGACAAAGCAACRAATACACCARTTGACAACATAGGRTGGCRTGGYCGGACATGGAMCATCTCGATGAGCTTACTGGGYAACACAACAATCTTGTCTAATCTTGYARTCAAGWCAGGAAGGATTGAATTCACTGGWCTAGATTTCTACAACATTGCAAACAACCTGCAACTGAAATTCACAGTCAGCGTCWACCCTCCATCARATCGTTACTCTAACTTRACTGCTGTSTCAGACMGCTTTGATGTYCATCCAAGAAAGTTTTATCTCAAAGTTATCCAACAACCTGGATATGCTAATGAATCTACCATATTTGGTCRACAWCCTGTYATTGAAATACGTGATCTTGGAACACAYCTTCGAGCCACACCCTTAAAAACCACCTGGAATGTTACTGTTTCAATGTACCTYAATMCTAAACCAGGAAAGTCCATTCTTAAAGGRCAGCTTTCAGTTCCTGTCTCCAGTGAACGAGCACAGTTTACTGATCTCATGATAACTAACTATGGAGTATATGTGTTGAAATTTACTTCCAACTATGGCCATTCWGTCTTGTCAAGGAGATTCAAGGTAGGATCCGATATATTAAATTGGTATAACAAATTCAAAAAGGCAATAAATCTATCAAAAAGCTCATGATAATGCAGTGTAAATATCTGATCTTTGAATGAAGGATTAACTTCCAAAACATTTGCAATTTTCAAACCAGCCTAAGCWTTTTGTTTTAAAACTCTACCCTGCCATAACTGAAGTTATGATGATAGAACAACATCCAAAATAATGCATATAATTATGTATTTCTAAGGATGTAAAAATTTGGTACGACTTTACTGCAGCMAATACTACTTTTAACCCCAAGTTTCTGATACCATCACCCCAAAGTAGAAAAACACAAACAATCATGCAGGCTATTTATCCATTGCTCTCATTGAACTGATTTCTTCTYGATTTTTATTCTCTGCAGGTCCGCTATATCAATGATTATTCACCACAGTTTATCCCCAACAATGCAACACGGACAGCATCCATACTAGAATCATCCTCTATCAGCATATCAATCATAACCCTCCATGCTGTAGATAAAGACCAAGGCAGTCAGGGAGATGTGGAGTACTCCATCACATCTGGTAACATTGGAAATGYTTTCCTAATCAATAATACATCAGGAATAATAACCACAAGAACAAGTTTAGATCGAGAGAAAATTTCCATGTACTCCCTTGTTGTTCGTGCAAGTGACAAAGCTGTACCTGAGAAAGTAAGGTTTTCTGAAGCCARGGTCATTGTCATGGTAACAGACGTCAATGATAACGCCCCAGTATTTATAACCAGTCCTCTTCTGGTTGATGTGAATGAGACTGAACCAGTAGGTCAAGTTATTGCAAGAGTGAAAGCAGTTGATCTTGACACAGGAATGAATGGCAGAGTGAAATAYTTTATYRTCAGTGGAAATACTGATAGAWTCTTTACAATTGATGAAAACACAGGCGACATCAAACTAGAAAAAACATTGGACTTGGAATCCAAGCAACAACCCCCTCTACATTTTACTCTTGGTAAGAAGATGCATCCCAGACCACAAACTATGAAATATTTTACTATAAATATCCTATTATACTAGGTATCCAATCTACTGATAGTGGTTCACCAAAGCTGAGAAGCAACACCACAATGTTTACAATCAATGTCAAACCAGTCAATGAATTTGCTCCAGTGTTTACCCAAAAGACCTTGAAGACCTTGACCCTTAACGAAAACGAGGATGTTGGAGTGTTACTGGTAGACGTCAATGCTACTGATAGAGACTTTGGCATTSAAGGTATTATTTACCACATCAAAAACAATGACAAGATTCATTTTCATGAAATTACATKAATTGGAAGCAGGGCTTCGTGATACACAACATGTAGAAATAATCAACAGAGTACATGCCACAAAAGAGTGAAACAATTCTTAACAAATTAGCGCCTGATAAGATTTAGTTATGAACTAAGAATTCAGTGAGGCATAAACAGAGACAATTTCCATTTTGGCATTGTGTCCATGCCCCAGTGAATTCTTAGTTAGTTGATAACTAAATCTTATTAGYTGTTGATTGTTAAGAATTGTTTCACGATTTTTTGGCATGCCACTCTATGTTGTCGTTCAATAGATATTATAAAAATCCTGTTACATGAGCTTTGCAACTAATTCCCTTGTATTTCCCAAACAGGTCAAGTGTTTTATTCTATAGTATCTGGAAATCAAGACCAATGCTTTGACATCAACAACACCACAGGTGTCGTTACTCTGGTAAAACGTCTTGATTATGAGCGATCACATGACTATAGGCTGGTGCTACRAGCTTCAGATAAAGGGTCAGCAGTTTTACATACTGACATTGCCATGGTGATTCAAGTTGTAGATGTTAATGATAATACACCTCTGTTTGCTGAAAATGTCAATCATGTCAAAGTAAAGGAGACTCATGTCATAGGTAAGGCTTACTGTACATTTGATTATAACATCTCTTGTGTCTTGGTAGAGAACTTTCTTTTCAAGAACATCTCTTAGTGTAGAAAACTTTTTTTACGAAATACATATCACCTGTATGGCCACAGTGCACTTGCTTCACAAAACGACTTAACAACTTTTCATTTCTTAAATGTGAAGAATAAAACTAACAGCTCCTAGTTAGCAAGTTCATATGAAAAGCAACTACTTACACTATTTCTATTGCTTTGAAGGACAAACTGCTTTTSTTGTCAARGCAACAGATGCMGATTCAGGCAGCAATGGSCGTGTCTCTTACCAAATWCAAACCAGAAATGATRATGGYTTYTTTAAGCTAATGCCTGACACTGGTGAAGTCAARCTACTGAAGAGCCTTGATATGGAGGTTTTGAAAGAGGTGAACTGGAACCGAACATTGGTSATAGCCRCTAGTGATCATGGGATACCATCACTTTCTAGCAATGCYAGTTTTGTAATTAGTGTAGAGAGTGTTAACGARTACAGTCCTGTCTTCCAATCAAAGTTGCTGAAACAGAGTCTYCTTGAGAACATAGCAATAGGAACTCAAATAGAAAGGGTGTCAGCCAGTGACATGGATTAYGGACCTGATGGACAACTAAGGTTTGGTTGAGCTATAATTTGCATTTTTATCTTTTCATCTTTAAGCTTATAGAAAAGAAAATACTAGTTTTACTAACAAATATCCTCATTTGATATTCTGTTTTAGGTATTCTATTATCTCTGGCAACAATGAGCATAAGTTTCGCATTGATGACATCACAGGTCATGTGTTTATAAATGCTCCAATAGACTACGAGCATTCCTCATCCTTCAGTCTAGAGATACAGGCTCATGACAGTCCCCTGAATCCAGCCAATCAGAGAAAGGCCATTTGTCACATGGACATCACTATAGTTGACGTCAATGACAATAGACCAGTTTTCAAWGAGAAGTCGTATTATGCTAAAATCAAGGAGACTGCTGAGATAGGAAGTGATGTCATTAGGGTCCAGGCCACCGACCGTGATTCAGGTATTCTATGTTACTTAATGCTTGCATGCTACAATTCTAATATWTTAAACCATAACATTATATTTGATAGGGACGAATGGAGAAGTACATTATTCCATCATATCTGGTAATGAACTACAATTCTTCACAATTAATTMCATCTCTGGTGTTATCACAACAAAACAAACTCTTGATCTGGAAACACAGCAACATGTCAATGACTTGATCTATGTCCTGCATGTTGCCGTCAAAGATAATGGTTCACCATCACTTAGCAACAGAGCAATTGTTACCATAGAGATAACCYCGGTTAATGAGTTCATGCCTCAACTGCATCAGCCAGAGTCTATRTATGTAAGAATCCAAGACACGTCAAGTGTTGGATCTCGTGTTGTGGTTATTAATGCAACAGACAAGGACTTYGGCRTTGATGGTTCTCTCACATATWCCATCGTACAAGGAAATGACAATAAAACTTTCAAAATTGATAAGAAAACAGGCGTCATCACAGTAGACAAACCCCTTGACTACCAGTHGTTGCCAAGATACTTCTTAGTTGTCAAGGTTACTGATGGCATACCATACCATGTCAGGCATTCACTTGTTGCCAAGGTAACAGTAAGATTGACAAATGCTTTAGATAATGGTGGGAAAGATATCAGGATATTGGGTAATTATCGCCAGATCACTTGCTCTGKAAATCTTGCAGAGGTTGTTGGGATTAACACTTCAGCATTCTTCAATATCGAGATAGTTGACAAAGGTAGGTGACTATTACACGATGTAGTCATGGAGTAAGAGAAGTAATTGACGTATCTTGCTCCATTTCTTTATAGRTAATGCAAAGTCTCAAGTGTTAGAGCTCAACGATAAWMGGGTTTCCCTTGAYGACCAATCTCTGTCAAATGGTTTGTTTACTGTCTCTAARGGYGACAKGAKSTGGGTTGTTAAGGCAACYRCACCTTGTCGTCATGGWAATGGGGTGTTAATAGTCAGAGTACAAGGTGTTTATAGTCTTCATGTTTCTATCAGTGTGGTGGGTTATGATTCACTTCTCTTACAAGTWACATCTCAACAGCTCATCAATCCAAACCAAACCCATGCCAACATTGYCRASTTTAAACGTCTAGGAAGTGCAAACAGCAACTTTGAACAAGCTGATTTACATCTCTATATGAAACTCACTGATGAAACAGTGTATGATATCACTAATAAAAAGAAAACATCATTCCATGTGACAACTAATAATGTCAATGTCAAGGTGAAGTTAGCAAAGCRGCAYTTAACAATAGATCGCATGACGTCATTAGGCCAATTTAGYGTTATTGGSACTTTTCAAAACTTGACATCACAAAGGGTTGTACTTCACATTGTGAATAAATTTGTGGTTGCCAAGGAGATAACCTCAGTTTTTATACCTGGACTAGTTAATAATACGTTGTTAGGTGTGGCAGGAAAGACAACACGTCGATTAGTGGTTACTATGACGATGGATGATGCATCAGTCATCAGAGTAGATGATTTTGATACTTTTCCTGGTCTTGTTAAGTTTACTTGTAAATCATGTCATGGAGCAAGCATAGACTCAGCTAGCGGACTTGTGAYCTTAGAGAGAGACTCATGGTCACTTGAACAGTTGATTGTATCAACTTATCCATTGATGACAGACTACCAATTAATTGAATTCTACTGTAACACCCAACCAGTACCAGGAGGAGTAGATATTGGTCATCGTATTGGTTCTGCAATAACTAGTTACACCAATCCAATATCAATATACATCAACACCTCTGGATTCACTTTACTGGCATATAACATCACTTTCGTCATCTACAACCCACAAATATTAAAATTTAAAGATGTGAAATACAACATACCTTATAAGGTCATGGGTAATCAAATAACTTTAGCTAATGTGATTGGTGGAGGAGGCCGTAGCAATGGTTATGTTGAYGATTTGCTATTCACTGTTTCTGGTTATAMAAGTGGCACTAAGTTGTTAGGAGTCGAGTCCAGTACAATTATAGATGATCAACTCAACCTCTATCCTGCTGGTAGTATGAAAGTATGTCAGAAAAGTTCACRTGTTTTGGGTGATGTCAATCAATGTGGTGGTTTTGACGTYTATGAYGCTGCACTGACAATGCTGTGTGCSAAGAAGAACCGATGTGRAAAATACTCTGTAAGTACATTCTAGAGCAGCTATCAACCAAATAATTCTTCATTTTCCCTCACTAGTATGACTAAATACATTTATGTACTATATTTCTTGACAGAAAGACCAAATGGACTTCAACAAGAATGGTGTCATTGATGAATCTGATGCAGTTCTACTCACTCGAGCTGCTGTAAACCAAATATACTTTGTTAAGTACTTCATAATCACTAAACCAGACCACAAAACAAAAACCTGCTTGTTCAACATTCGTACCAGCCTCATAACCAAAGACAATAGAACTGTCAGCCAAGATGGTGCTCAAGTTTATATTGAGTTTATTAGTAAGGAATCCACCATTAAAACTCAGCTCACTAAGACAGTGTTCAACAAAGGAAAGCTTGTTCATCTCTACGATGGTCATAATGGATTATGGGGTGGTGTGATCCAATTAAAATACATGGACAATGGTGAATTTGAACTTGAGACCAAGAAATCACACATTGAGCAACATAAGCTAGGGGTAACCATGATTCAAGCTACTCGGAATTCACCAGATAGTCCTTATTTAGGTGTCCCTCTGTATAGTTCCCCTCAAGAGCCTCTGTATAGGTCCACAGTTCGTGTTACTTTAGCACCAAATATTCATCTCATAGAGACCAAAAGTCATTCTCCACAGCTGTTGGTTGACATTCATGAGTCAACATCATCTTGTGTTGATCCTTTCATCACTAAAACAATCAACATCACCTTCAAAAGTGAATTTTCTGCTGTTGCAAACAAAGAAGGACGCTTCAAAAATGCTTTACAAGCTGATCTCATGAAGCGCTTTCCAAATATCTCCATCACTAAGGTAACCCTATCTCCAGGCAGCATACGTGTTGGTTTCCAGGCAACAGCACAAGCCGCTGTTTTGGAATCATTTATCGAGTCTCTATGGAGATTACTACAAGAAGGGTACAGCCTGACAGTTGACGGSACCACATTTGTTGCAGCCAAGACACTATTGGTTGATGGCCAACAAAAACTGGAAACCACACCAATGACATCATTTCCAGTCAAAGTAGTCGTATCTGTTTGTGTTACTCTTGTGGTCTTGTCAATTTTGGYAGGAMTTTTTATCTSTTGTCGACATCGCTTCCAAGGATACAATAAATGGATAAAAATCAAAAAGATGACAAGAATTGACAGTAGGTAAGAAACAAACATTAATTGTCTATTATCAAGTGATTTCAGACAAGTTCAATCATAGGGTTCCATTAACTTTGTTTTGCTGTTGCTGCTGTTTTTTTCCTTTTCTTTTTCTTCTTTTTTACCTAWTAAAGTTTCCATGACAATACCAGGTATAGCCTTCACCATTACGACAATCCACAAGAACAGGAAATGACATTTATTGCTGGTCAGCCTGTGGAACCACATRSCCACTATTCCAGCATGCCAGGAACACCAGACATCACTCCAAAACCATATCGACCCAGTTCAGCAATGTCAAGCAGTTCAGTGGAGGCCTGGRGAGATGAAAGTCAAACAAGCACACCCACMCAAMAAAAGAAACGAATCGGCAGTGGGAAAGTATCCCCTTCAATGATGCCTGCTCATAGAACTTTAAGCAAACAGAATAGTGATAGCCGGTTGATGAACGGTGATWCAGACTCTGGATCATCAACCCCKGAAGAAYGTCAAGTGAACACTCAACAACACAAGAAAACACCATTGAACTTCAATGTYGCTAAAGCWCTTATGGATCATGAAGATGCTGTATCCCGACGAAGTGCAGGATTGGCTTAYGCAAAGAGACAGCTTATGACCAAYAAGGAAGCATTAACGAGGCAATCAAGTGATAGCAGACTCTTGGGTAATACTAAAGGTGATGGATCACCATTCACAAGGCCAAAACTCTATAAGAAAATGACTTGGGCTTCTCAAACCAACTCTGATCATAGTAAGTAGCATTGGTAAAGATTCTAGACTGGCYTGATAAGTTGTAATGAATAGTCTTCTTCCCATTTCCCTGTGCAATATTGCAAGGTAGCCGTGCCTTAACCTTTGCATCGAAGCAAGACCACTGAGCGTGCAATGATTGAAGCCTTCTTTCACACCTACAGACAATATTACTATTTACAGGTATCTATTATTGCACGCTCAACGGTACAGTTGTCTTGCTTTGATGCAAAGGATCGCTACATTTCAAGATGGCGCAGAGAACCATGTAGGACAGTTTTTAAGTACAAAATAAATAATCTATATYCTTGAAATTCTTATTTCACTTACCAGATCTTAACTTATCTGTTGATTCTTCTCYGTCATACTCTGGATCAACCACACCCAACARGGACAGTYGTGCAGTCACACCATCTAATGTCATGGTTCAACACAAGGATCTTAAGTTACAAGGTAATGTTAAAATAACATCATATAATATAATTGCACGCTTTTGAGAA